GAAGCCAGCAAATATCCTCTTCATGGTACATTAAAAGATGCTCCGTCCTATGTATTTTCATGTATTAACTCGAATGCAGAAGCGGAAGAATTACGAGATGAAACTAGACGTTTGTGCGATATTAAACCATTTTGTTCTGTGCTTAAAGTTATAGAGCGTGAAGGTGTTAAAAGTGATAGAAATTTAGATTCTCGAATTGGTGTTCTTATTGGCAAAGGATTACACGAGTTTACGGCATTAAGAAATTCTGAAGTAAATGACTTTAGGTGGAAAATGAGAGTTTTAGGAGATGAAGTTGCAATGGCAAGACAAAAAAAATCTTGGATGGAAAAAGTACGTTATCAATTTCCTACACGATTAGCACCAACTGCCACAATACCAAAAAATATCGAATGTCGATTAAAAGATGGAAATATCGTTCTTGTTACTAAATTTGAAAATACAGAGGTAAGAGAACAATTGTTTTATTATTTTTTTTATTATCATATTATAAAAATTAAAAAACATTTCTTTACATTGGATGAATACAATAACACATAGCAAATATTTATTAATCATTGGATTTAATTAGATATGTGAATTATAGGATATTTTTCATTGTCGATGTTTGATAAATTCTTACTTTCCTCAATCGCTATATTCTCCATAGAGTGTAGAAGTTTATTAAAAATTTTATTTGTATTATTATTAGCATTTTGATTATCTTCAAACTTGCATGACTTTTTAGGCTTAAGAATTTTGAATTCTACGCAATTATTTTGATTAGAATTTTCTTTATCAGTTTGTTCATTATGATTTCCATAATCTTTTAAATTTTTAATTGGACAAGAAATATGTTTAATTTTAACAGAATTATTTAATGGAAATGATTGAGCAGAGTTTTGTAATCCTTGTCTATTAGCGGATTGTTTTTCCTTAATCTCTGTATTATCGTTATTACATTTTTGCGTGACATCAATGAATTCTTCCAAAATTTTATGCTCTACATGATTCACAAGATCCATTTTTGATTCTGTTTGTGCAGCGCATATTTGAGCCTTTTAAAATATAAAAAAAAAAAAAATTATATATCATTTTTTTAGAAATAAAAATGAAGAAATAAAATTATCAAAAATAGGAATAATTACCTCCAGAGACAAAGCTTTGCAACGCCAATAATTTAATTGTTTGGTAATAGTTAATTTTGTTTCTTCTTGTATCAAAAATTTTGTATAAAGATCTTCTATTTTTATACGTAGTTCATCTGTTTCTTTTCTTTTAGTATCCAAAAGTGATTGAAAGTAGCTTTAATTTTTGTAATAGAAAAAAAAAAGTGTAAGGAAAAATATAAAATAGAGAAACAAAATAGAGACAAAAGATATTATTTAATGCTAAGATTTTATTAATATATATATATATATAATTCATTTTATACCCGAAAGATATGTCGCTACGATCTAATTGTCTTGAATCATTCTTCTTAATTTCACATTTCAATTTACTTTCGAGATCCGATATTCTATTTTTATATTTTTGAATTAACTCCTCATTTTCTGTTGATATATGATTTGTATCATTTTCCCATTTTCTAAACGTTGCAACACGTTCTGCTTTTAACATTTTAAGTTCTGCAGTTTGCGATTTATATATGCGTTTTAATTCTATATATTTCTCACGTAATACATTCATTTTACTCATTATGTTCTGCCTACGATCCTCTACTTCAGCAAAGAGTGAATTACCTGTATAAAAAAAAAATTTTTTAAATCTTAAACGAAAATAATTAAATTTTATTGATACTCGCCTTTACGTGATTCACATGTAGCATCCATTTGTAACGATGTTATCTCTGCACGTTTTAGAATAAGCTCTGCGCGAACTTCTTCTAAAGTTTGATCTTTTTCGTGTAATTCTTCTTTGATACTCTATTCAATAGAAATAATATTTTATATTTATTTATATTTTATTTCTAATATTCTGATAAATCAATAATTTTTTAACAAATATATCAATCTTTTATACTCACTTGAGTATAGTATTCGTAATTATCGCATCTAGCTTTTAATTCCTCGATCATTTTTTCTGCATGTTCATTTTTTCCTTTCTCTTCTCGCAACATAGATAAAAGTTCGTCAATATGATTTCTTAAAGAAATATTATCTGTTTCGAGAGAAAGATTTGTAGATTGATCTCTGACAGTATTGCATTCAGTTTTTATACATTGATTAGCGTTTTGTTGTAATTCTTCAATTTGTTGTGTCTGTTGTGCTAATTTTTTTTCTAAATTTGAAATTGTATTTTCATAATCTTTTGTAAGAGTACGATATCTAAAAGGAAAAAATAAAAAACAAAAAATAGGAAAAAGGTTAACAAGCAATATTATTTATAGAAATTTATAGAAATTTTGTAAATTTACTTTTCTTTGTCTTTGAAAATAACTTGCTCTTTTTCGAAGATTCGTCCCTCAAGGGAACGTTCAAGTAATTCATTTGCTTCTTGAGCTTCCCGCAACATAATTTCGTTTAATTCAAGTCTTCGTTTTAAATTATGAATTTCTTGTTTACATTTTTCATATTCAACTTGTAATAATTTATAGCAACGATCATTGCGTATATCCGTATATTCTTCGATATACTCTTCTGTATTTATCGAATCTTGTGTAGACATATTTTAAGGTTAACTTTTATTATGTGCGTTCAAATTTAAAGGCGAATCGTTATGAACTTTGTTTAAAAATCAACAGATATTTATCGTACACTTATCTTCTACTTGTTTCATTGAATTACAGTTACAATATATATGAAAAGCGTAGACATCTATATTTATGGCTTCCCTTTCTATTTTATCTTTCTCCCCTTCCCCCGGTATTTCCACTCATCGTCATACCCCTCTCCCTTCCCGTATTTCCTGTTCTGTTAGCAAATTCCCGCCAAAAAGAAAAGAAAAATCGAAGAAAATCGTTAAAAGAATAAAATTTTCAAAAAAGAAATAAAAATTATTTTATCTTTTTCTAATAGATATATTAAAGGATATATATAAATAGACATATTCATAATTTGCGCATGATTATAATTTATTTCAGACAGCCTTCACATTTCAAATATCGCACAGTACGACGCCATATCAATTATTGGTATCTATATTAAATAAACGAGCAAACACTTTAATGTCCAAAGGACATCCAAATGACTTTACTCTAAAGGTTTGTGGCCAGGAGGAATATTTAATAGGAGATTATCCTTTAATACAGTTTAGTTATATTCAAGATTGTGTAGCGAAAGATATTACTCCTACATTGGTCACTCTAAGCAGAGATAGCGTCTCTGTTGATCAGGAAAATACTTCAGAAAATATAGAGGCAGATACTTTGCAACGTACAAGACCGTCTTTTTCCACGCTAACCTTACGCAAAAAGGGTAAACATGTATCTGCTTGGAAAATAGAGGAACCATTTGTTTTCACTGTCAATGCGATATCACGATTAAACTGCGATGCGGCTCATCGCACCGTTGAGGTATAAACTTCTCATTTTCTCGTAAAGCAATCGTTATTCGTTTTATCATATCTTTTAAAGAATTAATCTTGATCTGTTTGATGTTGAATTTTACATCTACAGATTGGTCTCCAAGCCGGTCTTTTTCATGGTGGGAAATCTTTGTGCGAAAGTCAAAAGACTAAAGAAACTGTCGTCAATTCTGACGGTAGTTGCGAATGGGAAGAAACTTTAAAGTTTGATATAAAAGTACGAGATATACCGCGAATGGCTAGGCTGTGTTTTGTTTTATATGAAATTAGTAAGACTGCGAAAGGATTGAAAAGTCGTAGATTAGTTAAAGATACCAAACAAGAGTTTTTTATAAATCCGTTGTGCTGGGCTAACACGACTATATATGACTTTAAATCACAATTAAAAACGGGAGCGATGACGTTATATACGTGGACATATGCCGAGGATATGCAAAATGATGATCTTCTGCATCCTCTGGGAACGGTAGTGTCAAATCCTCATATAGATAGAGCGGCTGCTTTAATGTTAACATTTCCAAAGTAAGTCTACTTTTTTTTCTTTCATTTTACTTTCTCTTCTTTTTTTTTTCTTTTTCTCTTCTTTTCCCCGAAAATATTAAAAAATTATTTCCCTTTTATCTCCTTCTCCTCCATCATTTTTTTGACATTATAATACGTATATTTTTTTTAATACACAATTAATTTCATATTATTGTTTATCGTTTATACATTTTTTTTTTTTTAGCTATGGGAAAGAGAAGTCGGTTCTTTATCCTACTCCGGAGAAAATGGTGGAATACGCGAGAAAGTTGCGAGAATCGTCTACCGAACGTTCGATTCAAGAAGAACCTAATCAAGAATCTGATGTTGGTAAGCAGCAACTTGAACAACTTCGATTATTAGCGGACAGAGATCCATTACACGAGCTTCACGAACAAGAACGAAAGATAATGTGGACGTTAAGGCATCATTGTCTTCTTGAAATTCCCACGCTCTTGGCCAAGTTGTTGCACTGCGTGGAATGGAATGATCATAGGTGAAAATCTAAATATTCGAAATACCAAACGATAGGAGTTATTTTAACATCGTCCATTTTCATAGAAAAAGAGAACGTTTAAATCTACTTTCCGATTCTCGACGTATACAGGGAAGTAGCTGAAGCTACGGCGCTGGTGCAACAGTGGCCCAAATTATCCGTCGAAAAGGCACTTGAATTATTGGATTATGCTTATGCTGATCAAAATGTTCGAAGTTTTGCTGTACGTTGTTTAATGGATGTCAGTGACGAGGATTTGAGCCTTTATCTATTGCAATTGGTACAAGCGTTAAAACATGAAAATTATTTATCCTGCGATTTGACGGAGTTTCTACTGAGACGCGCGCTTAACAATCGAAGAATCGGTCATTTTTTATTTTGGCATCTTAGGTTGGTGTAATTTCGTCTATTGCATTTCATATATATTTTTCTTTTCTTTCATATATCTTTTTATTGAGTTCGATGAAAGGAAAAAAGCTATTCACTCTTTTTCTATTTTCTATATCTTTATCTTTTATGAATGTTCTATTTTTTTTTTTTTTTTTTTTTTTTTTTTGTTTTTTTTTTTTTTTTTTTTTTTTTTTTGTTTTTTTTTTTTTTTTTTTTTTTTTTTTGTTTTTTTTTTTTTTTTTTTTTTTTTTTTGTTTTTTTTTTTTTTTTTTTTTTTTTTTTGTTTTTTTTTTTTTTTTTTTTTTTTTTTTGTTAGATCAGAGATGCAAGTGGGTGCTGTGTCTGTTCGCTTCGGTTTAATATTAGAAGCGTATTGTAGGGGAAGTCAGCAGCATATGCGGTCACTATTTAAACAAATGGAATGTTTGGGTAAATTGAAAAGTGCTTCCGAACAAATAAAACAGAGAAAAGACCGGAAAGCTGCGTTACAAGGTTTTCAAGAATTTATTCAAGAACCTCATTGTCAAGATGCCCTATCAAACGTTTTAAATCCATTGGATCCGAGTTTCCGATGGAAACGCATTAAGTAAGCTTCTATGTTAAACATATAATAATGTTATGAGAGATTTGTGAAACGAAAATTAATGATTTACAGAATTGAAAAATGTAGAGTAATGGATAGTAAAATGCGACCACTTTGGCTAGTTTTTGAAAATGCCGATCCATTCGGTGACGATATTTACTTGATACTCAAACACGGAGATGATTTGAGACAAGATATGCTTACGCTACAGATGCTACGAATCATGGATAAACTTTGGAAGAGAGAGGGTTTGGATTTACGTATGAATCCTTACGGTTGCATATCAACGGAAAATAGAGTCGGTATGATCGAAGTGGTTTTAAATGCGGAAACAATTGCAAATATCCAAAAGGAAAAGGGAACTTTTTCGGCAACAGCTGCTTTTAGGTATATTCAAATAGAAAATTCCATCTTTACCACACAATTTGAAAATGTTTCCTATATTATATTATTATTATTATTATTATTATTATCATCATCATCATCATCATCATCATCATTATCATCATCATCATTATTATTATCATTATTATAATTATCATTATCATTATCACTATCATCATAATTATCATCATTATTATTATTATTATTATTATCATCATCATCATTATATTTCTATATAGACGAGGATCTTTGCTTGCTTGGCTAAAAGATCATAATCATACCGAAGCAGCATTGAATAGAGCTATCGAGGAATTTACTTTGAGTTGCGCGGGTTATTGTGTGGCTACGTATGTTCTTGGAATTGCCGATAGACATTCGGATAATATAATGGTGAAGAAAACGGGGCAATTATTTCATGTTGATTTTGGTCATATACTTGGACATTTTAAAGAGAAATTTGGATTCAGACGTGAACGTGTACCTTTTGTGTTAACCAATGATTTCGTGCATGTAATAAACAAGGGTCAAACAAAAAAAGGTCAAGCAGTTGAATTTCAACGATTTCAGAGTCATTGTGAACAAGCTTTTCTCGTTCTACGGCAACACGGAGGACTAATATTGTCCTTGTTTGCTATGATGATATCAACGGGATTACCTGAATTATCATCGGAAAAAGATCTTAATTATTTAAGAGATACTTTGGTATGATATCATTTTTCTTTCTAATCTTTTCTTTCCCTTCTTTTGAATGACAAAAAAGAAAAAAATTATTGAATAGAAATTTAAAAAATTAATTCAATTTTTTTTGGAATTAGGTACTCGAGATGTCCGAAAGTGAGGCACAAAAGCATTTTAGGAGTAAATTTGATGAAGCTCTTTGCAATTCGTGGAAAACTTCATTAAATTGGGCCTCTCATAATATGTCCAAAAACAATAAAACAACATGAATAAACGAACGATTGGATAAAATATAAATATGGAACAAATAAGTGAATCCGATTGTTCTGCTTATAGACAAACGAGAGAGTATTATCGCATCAATAATTTACGTTTAAATTACGTGGAAAATTGAAAGCCGATGATAGATATTTTCTTCGAAAAAGAATACGTTCGATATAAAGAAAGATAAAATGATCTAACGTTTTTGATCATCAGTAATTATCTTTCTCGTTGCTGTGCGACAGTAACGCGTGTACGCGTGCGCACTCTTATCGTGACTATCATCCCTCACTCCTTTCTCTCTCTCTCTTTCTCTTTCTACCTTGAACATTTTTACCACGCGCACGCGCATATGCAAATATTCAATTCTTTATTGTACATTCATACGCTATATCTTTACTCTCCTCCCTCTTTGCCACATTTTTAATAGGTGGGTGGAAAATAGAAGCAGAATACGTATATAGTACATATCATTGGTTGACATTGCGAGCGCGAAATTCTCATAAACAGAACAGAGACGAGTATTTCTTTGAAAGGAATGTTTCACTCATAAGACATTTCACTCGTCGTATTAGATTATCGCAGTATCGTGGCTGTGCCGTTCTACCAGCACTCTTTATAATCTTTACCAGATTGTAATAAGGAATGTTCGAAGGATTGATGAAAAATTCTCGATAATCCTTAAAATTTCCGAATCTTAAAATATTATTATATCGATTGTAATAAACGAAGTTATTCTTCACGTTGCTTTTTCATTACTTGAAAAACCTATATGTAGAAATATGAAATCCCAATACTTTTGTTAAAAGTACGATTATTAAAGACAAAAAAAAAAAAA